CTGCTGACCTGGTTCTCCCCTCTGTATCACACACCATAACTCTTCAGGAGGGTCTCGGCTCTTGTTTTGGCAGTTCTTGTGTATTCGTGTACTTTCTATGCATTTTTAAATACCCCCCTCCCAACCCCATTTGCCTATTTAGAGTATCAGAAACAGCTGTTGAGTTTTTTCAGTTCTTCTGTGTGCCTAAAAAGGGAGCTGTAGAAACAATAAGCTCTTTAACATGAGTTATTCAAGAAGGCATTAATAGAGCCTTAGAATTTGATATAGGCCTTATTGCAGCCAGTCTCAGTCCTTTATGCTAAGATGTGCCAGCACATATTTCCAGTAAACAGCATAGCAGCTATGCTGTTAAAAATCCCTACAGTTCTGCAAAAAGTATGGGGAGAAAAAGTAATGAATCTCTTTAAGTTTCACTTTGTTGACATCTTGGAAGCCCCTCTCTCATCTATAAAATCCTGTTCTCTTAAAAGCCCCAAATGACATGCACAAAAAAAAGTGTGTGGGTATTAATTTAGTTAAAAGATGAGATAATCACAGGTGATTTCCCAGAGACCATGATAATAAAGCGCTTTCTGGGGGTGTGAACCCATGAAGTCCAGCTCTTACATAGAACTCCCAGAACATAAACTGCCCTTTCCCACTTGGGGAGAGAGCTGGAGGGTTGTTTCCACTGGAGAGCCCCAGCTGCGCTCGGACAGCACAAGCTGCTGCGTGCAGCCTGCGGAGGGAGAGGCAGTGCAGCGTGGCTTCCAGGGAGACTGCACAGGCAGCCGCTGCTCTTGTCACACTCGGCACATGCTCACGTTGTCCTCATCGAGCTCCAACTATGTCTTTGCAAACTTTCATGTCCCCAGCTCAGCTGGGTGGGGATGAGCGCTCTCACCCTTCCCGTGTGGTGCAGGGCAGGATGCAAGCACTTGCTGCTATAGAGGTTGGATATGAAAGGCTGCTGCGTGCTGGGAGATTTAGCAGAGGGAAGTGGTCTTGCCCAGTGGTTACAGCCAGGCCCTGGGAATGGGAACCAGCAACTTACTGCCTCCCCTTTTCTTGTGTCTTGTTTTATCAATGATTATCACTTCATTTAATCTGTTTTTAAAAGCACCTAGAAAATGCTTTCACCTATTACACCGGTAGTTGAAAAAAATAACATGACTGCATCTCTGCCACATCTCAAGAGATACCGAGGCTCTATCAGCTCACTTTTTATTTAAAAAAAAAAAATGAGTGGGGTGTGTAGTCCTAAAATACTGTATTCTCTTTTATTATTAACTCTGCATATGCATGTCTGTGCCACATGGTGTGCCTGTGTGAGTTACAGGAGACTCCCTTGAGGCTGCTCTGTGGTTTCCAAAGCACTATGCAAGCAATATGTTTTCTCCAAAATTGCACCAATGCCTTTTGCTAGCTCCAGGAAAACTTACTTGTTACAGAGATTAAGAGACAGCATCTGCTACTTGCAACAGGTCTCCCTAACATATACTACAAATGATGCAGCCTTTCTTTTAAAAGCTGCAAAGGGAGGAAAAAAAAACCAACCCCAAACCTATTAATGACGCTATCTAGAGCAGTGCTGCCTAGTGTTTCCTGCCATAGCAAATGAGCACATTTTTTTTACCTAAAAAATTAAAAAATGTTGCCATGAAGTAGTGTTACATTACCACAAGTGGGTTAATTTTCACTCTAGGAGACACTGACCTGTTAAAGCATGGTCCTTAGCTCAGAACGTCCTACTTGGTGATTATTGGCTACCACAGCGCTGCGAGGAACAAATGAATGTTGGTCTAACACTTTTTTTTTTTTTTGGCTCATCTTCCATATCTGCCTCAGAATGCTACAGCGAAAGTGAACACGATGACCCAGAAATAACAGACACACCACCTCCTCCTTTGGTAAGTGTTACAGAAATCAGTTTATTTCTTGTTGCTAGTCGGTGGGAACAAAACTTTCTTGATGTGGTGGACCCCTGAGGAGGAACCTAAAACAGCAGCTGGAAATGTTCACCCTGTGTGGCTGTGAAATGAGGATGCACTGACTGCCCCTGCCCCATGGCAGAGCACGCAATTACTGCAGGCTGTGGCACTGGGAGCCTTGCACTGTGAAAGAACAGCTCCTTCAAATGGAGGCATATTTATCTTGCTGAAGAAAGGAAGGTGTCACTCAGCCTCGCACACACACTGTGTCTATTCTTTACAATGTTTTTAACACACTGTCGTAACCTAGCTTTTAATATTCTTTTTTTTGTCAGTCCAAAATTTTCTTTCTTTTTGTGACCCCAGTAGTGTCACCCAACAGATTTGTATTTATTTGAATGACCTGTTCTTACGACTGTTGTAGTTGAAGCTGCTTGTGTGGCATTGAAGAAAAGTGAAGGGAGAGAGGCCTCTTACAGTGATAAAATTGGTTCTTTCCCTCTACTTCTGAAAAATAGCCATTAAAAATAGGCATCCTCTCAAAGTCTATGCTATAATAATATTCCTTCCTGCCTCACTCACTTCATTTCATAAATTAGAATAAGCACTGTGCACCCTCATGTGTCTAATCAAAGTGACTTGCCCAATTATTAGCCACTTATTGCCCTATTAATCTTGTTTCTGTATTGTTGCTTTTGCCAGTGATCTCATCTGCCCTTACATGAGCTTTAAGAGTATGAGTTTTCTTAATTCTGTGTTTAGAAATGAGTAATCTGGCTTGGAGTAGTAATGCAGCTAAAATAAGGAGTCCTGAGTCCAAGCCTTTCTCTTCCCCAGCTGAAAGTTAGCATCAAGGGGTATGCAGTGTAATATGCTTAGTACTAAATAATATCATTGCATCTCATGGAAGTGAAGTGTCTGCTGCCTCGTTGGTGTGGTATAGTTTCCTGTATGGCCCACTAAAATTACATCCAGTAGCTAGGGTGGGCACAGAGGCAGCGAAGCAGGAGCAAGTTGGGAATACACAGATGAGCTGGAGAAGCTTGCGTGGTCCCAGGCTATAATAAAAGGAGATTTCATGCACAGGGTTGCCTGTCTGGCAATTTTTAATTAGCTCGCATGAAGCTAGGAGCGTACGTCACACTGTCACCCACTTGCCCTGTTCTGTTTCAGTCTGATAAGTCAGTCTTAACTTCCTCTCCTGAAGCAGTTGTGTAATGTTAATCACTGCGAAAGAATCCACCTGGCACTCAGGGCGTGCGTGGTGTTCACTGCTGTATAAAACGTGATTCTTTTTTGTGAAGTTAAATGTGGTTGAGTGGTTGCAAATATTGGAGAAAATAGGAACCTTGGCAATACATCTCCCAGAGTTATTCTGGGCCGAGGGCTGATAATGAGGCATCTTGAATTTTGTACCTCAGTGGCTCGCCTTTAAGAGCCTGTAGATGTCTTTTCCGTCTGCTCACCTCTGAGTGAATGGCTGTGTTTTTCCAGATGAGTTTTAAACAGGTGTTGTTTTTTAGTTTTCAGTTTTTCTGGCTTCCTGCTGCTTGTCAGTCTGTTGCTGCAGAGGTGATCTCCGGTTGTCTCCTTCCCATATGCCGTTCTTGAGTGCTGGCCTCCACATTTTAGCAGGGAATGTGTGGGAGGCCAGCAATGGTGCAGGTGCTGAGGGGTCCTGCTTCCTCAGCCTTTCCTGCAAGGGTTATCTTCCCTTCAGCCTTTACCTCTCTCAGCTGATTTCCCTTCTCCTCATCCTTAGCTTAAAATCCCTTCCCCCATGGACACAGGTTAGTGTCTCCTGAGCAAAGTTGTCATCTTTTCACCCCAGAAGTGGCCACTGAAATAAACTCCAGCTGCCATGGGTCTGCCCTATGCTCAGCTTGCTTCTGTGTTGGGTGGGAACAGTTAGGTATCAATGCAGCTGTGTTTGACTGCAAGTCAGAGTCTCTTAAATACCTGATTTAATGCCCCTTAAAAAAAAAAACAAAAACACTGGAAGGACTGGGAAAGCACAGCTTTTACAGGAAAGTCGGTTTGAGGAGTGGAGCCCTTGGTTGTCTCAGGGAAGGCTGGTTAAACGTTGCTTGCTGCCTGTTTATTCGCTGGCGAGTTTTTGAACCAAGATCCCAGGTCTCAGACATGTGATGGATTTGGGTTGATACTCTGTGAGTGCACTGCTTTTGGAAGGCCTGTCTGAATCTTTTCACATTGCTGCTGGAAGAAACACCCATCCTGGAAACCCAGCCCAGTATCAAGAATGCCAGAAGCATTGACTGGGGTTAATTTCTTTTTATTCTTTTTATATTTTTTTTAAAGTTGCCTTCTTCCTGAGTGACAAAGGGATTTTGCAAAATAGGAGTTAGGAGCTATGGACGTTTTGGAAAATCAAATCAATGCTATCTTATAGCATAAAGGCCTCCAAACTTCTTGAGATCAGCTCCAGACTGAAAACTATTAGTCTGGAAACTAATTGCCACCAGGTGCAAGCTCTGTTACATCTTAGAGCCGCAAACATTTTGCTGTATTTCTAGCATAAAGTTTTCACTTGCTGTTCAGTTCTCTGCTGACCGAAACCATTTTGAAACTTGAAAAAGAAAGAAGTAGTGATCATGAGCTTTCTATGTTTATGCATGTTTTTGGGTACTGTGGAAGAAAAAAGCAAGTGAGGAACAAGTAAATTTTAACATCTGTAGGACAAAAGTTAAACTGACCGTCTGCATTAATTTCACCACATGTGACTGGATATACAGGTCAAACACCAGCAAGTATGTTGAGCCGATAGATTGCAGCAGTCCCCAAAGAGCAGTTGAGGTGTTTCACAGTGATAATTTTTCTCAAAAAAAAAAAAAAAATGCCTAGAGACCCATTGATCTCCAATGGAATCCTTATGATCTGCTGGCTCAAGCATCTGCTTTTTAAAATGTCCCCAAATTGAGATTTATTAGTATATGGATAATTGCAAAACTTCCAAAGGAACCACTTAAGTAAGTTAGGTAAAAAAAAAAGCCGCAACACATATGTAGAGAAAAAGAAACATATTCTGGCAGTCATCTTTATTCTCACCCACGTTTTTCTATTTAACACGCAATGAAAATTAAAACAAAAACATTCCACTCAGACACAGTTTTCATTTCAATGGCACTTTCTTTTGCATGGATAAATGCCAGAAAACTAGAGGTAAGATCTAACACCTTCCTTTCCTTTCTTTGAACAGTTGAAATTAGACCATCCACACTATGTAAGAGCTTTTACTGTTCAGTTGTTCTGCTTTGCTGTATAAATGCTTCAACAATTTGTTTTTGCAATAGGAGCTCTTAGATTAAATGCTTCAGGTCCCCTGTGTTCCCAAGGGCTCTTTTATCACTCACACATGTAGTTTATGACAGGATCTCCTTCCTTGTCCTTTGTTTTAGGATGCATTTGTGAGGGCTTCCTTTTTAAAAACAAAAATGCACCTGTAACACAATATTGTAATTCTCGTAAGAGGAATATAAAGTAAGTCTGGTCCCGCAGTGTTTGGGACAGTCTTGGAAGAATGGCTTCGAAAATTTACAAAAGTGAAGAAAGCGCTAGAAAAAAATGGTGACCCACAATCTGATATTGATCCTCCTCATCTTCTGAATTAATTAGTAGCTACGTGATAGACCTAGATGAGGAGCACAGGCAAATCTTTTTTGTTAATTTTAAATGTAAACAGGAAGCAATATACATTGCAGCAACACTGATTTGCAGAAGTTTATGTATCATAATCAAAAAAATTGTCACTCTTGGTTTGGTTTATATGAGTACATATTATTTCTAGTTTACCAGGTTATAAATAAGTATTCTAGGCTAGTCCCTTTATTGTGTTTGCAGCTTATCCGGGTTTCCCTAGCAACACCTTCTCAGTAATTTTCAATGCTTCCAGTTTAGTTATGATCTGTTTTAATCCTTGCACGGATCTATTCTACATATGTATTGAGAACATAAACTTGCCAGAGTTGTGGTCCATCAAGTCTGGTATTCTGATTCTGGCACTGGCCAGCAGCAGATGATTTGCAGAAGGAGTGAATTTCTGCAGTAGCAGATGCAAGAAATCTGGCTTTCATATCATTATGATCTCATTGTGATTTCTCATAGTTTCTGCTAAAAGCTTCACTATAAGGCTTTGTCTCCCCTTGTCTTTCATTGCTTTATTTGTTACTGTCAATTAATCCTCTTCTGAGTATTTGTATGTATATTTGTGTGTCCGTGTATGGGTTATGTGTGTGTTTGACTCTCTTGGCTGATGTGTTCTGTGGTGTTTGGTGGCTAAGAAGCAGACTGGTGCTAGTTCTTTTTGTGTGAGTTGCTTTTGGTAACCAGATAATAAGACAACTCAGTCAATGTAAATGCCTACTGTAGACAAAGGCCTGGGCATCTATTTGCTTGTCTGGGAAAGCTAAATAATTTTCAAATCTTTGTTCTTTCTCTTAACCTTTCTTTATATGGAGTTGTGCACATATCGTATCCTCTCTCATTCAATTCCGAGCTCCTAATCATGACTGTTGGATGTCTCTAAGACCTCTGGTTGTATGCACTCTTGCTGAGTCAGGGTAACAAGTACTGTACGGGAGGCCTTAGGGTGTCTTAATGATTTCTGATGTGTTTGTAGTGAAGTTTGGGTCCCTTTCCAGCTTCAGGTGCTGAAGGATGAATCTTAGCAGGTGAACAAGCAGCACAAATTTTGTACCACTCCCCTTTTCCTGCCCTCTGCCCTATGACTGTTTTTTCTTTCCACCATTGACTTGCCATCATATTACTCATCAGCCTTCTTGCCCCAGTGAATGATTAGTCCCTTGAATGGACCAGCTAAAATGGCTTTGTGTGCTGAGAAGGTCAGGGTACTTCAGCGCTTGGGCCCATTTCTGTCTCCCCGTGGTTATGGCATTGGTGGATTTATTTATTATTTACTTATTATTTATTCTTCAAGAGAACTTCATGTTCAATGGCTAATTCGGAGTTTTTCTTCTGCACTTTTAACTAGACCGATAAAATGAAGACAAAGTAAAGCGTGAATGTGATTGTGACACCTAGTGTGGAAGGCTACATTCAACACATTTTTCCTTGGTCTTTTGTTACCAGCATTGTCAGGTTTTTATCTGTTTTACCTCTGGCTTCCTTGTGGTTTAGTTTCTGAAATTACTGCTCTATAGGAGATTGACTGCCATATGTCAGGCTTGTTTGGATGGATAATTAATCAGATTGTACCAAATTCTGGTCAGTTAGCATTTCAGCTGCATATCTATAACATGTAGAACCTAGGAACAGGAATAATTTTGGAATAATTTTTCTTTTTTCTCCCCCCCACTCCCATTTGTTTCTGGAAAGCAGGATCAGCAGAAGTCTTCTTTCACCTCGACTCTGTCAAGTGAAGCTTCTTGTTCTCTCTTCTCTTCTGAAAGCACTTTCAACTCTCAAGGGTCATCTTCTTCCTTGACGTCCAAAGGGGTTTATTCCGAGAGGCAGTCCTGGCTTGACCTAGTTAACATCTCTGCCACAGAAGAGGGTGATCAGCCTTTAACTTTCTGCGTACAGATTCACTCTGAGGAGCTGCCTGAAGGAGACTGTGGAGAAGTGGCAGAAAGCCAGGAGGTCCGGCTTTATAAACCCAGTGGTGGATCCCAAAATTCTTTTTTAGGTCTGGATACACACTGTCTAACTGTGCCAGATGGAACAGGACAGAGATCACCAGCCAAAGGTGAGCTAACGAGAGAGGAGATTTTTGTCTGGCTTTCAGGGGTTTTCCTCAATTTCCTTTCCCCTTCCTTCCTTTATGTTCTTCATTGAAGAGTTTTCCAGTGGCACATCATTTATAACAACCATTGGTTTATTGCACATTAAATATGACTTAGTATCTAGTTGGTAAGTAACTTTACAGGTTTTCTCAGATTTTACCTGGATGGTAAGATCATAGCCTCTGTAAGAAATCTTAACATAGACATATTTTTATTATCTTTATTTCAATACAGCTGTCTTTTATTAGTTAGGATTCAATCAAAATTTTAAGAAAGAATTCACACAACTGACAAATGGCGTGTGTAGGAAGTGGTGAGTATGGGGTTATGTCAATCCAATTTTTAAAATAAAAGCAGTTGTGTTTACACAGTACATATTCCCTATTTGTTTCATTGAGCTTCATTGTAACCAAGGGGAAACAACTGCAATCCTGAATCAGAAAGTCCGTTAAAACTGAATTTTGTTTAAGCAAACCAGTATCTGCATAGGTATCCTCCTACTGAAATGTACTGCTAAATTTAAAAGGTGGCATAGTTCCAGAATTTGGTCATTGTTACTGTTAATAACTCTCCTGCCATAGCAAAGCAATGTGTCTTGCCTTTTGAGCAAAGCTGCTTCTTCCTGCATCAAAAGCAGTTGAAGCATAAGAAGCATTCCTGGCACGCGATATGCTGAAATGAGAAGCTACACAGCATGCTGCCTAGAGAGGTAGTACATAAGGAAACAACAATGTTCTTGTGCATCAGCTCTACCCATGATTCCAAATCCTTGTAAAAAATTTGAAGCAAGCACTGTTGCTGAAAGAGCAGTGTTGTCTCACTACAATGCAAAACAAAGGTGTATCCAAAAGCTTAATGCAAGCATAATGCAAAGGTGGAAAGAAACAGCACTGAACTCATTGGGAAATTAAGTTTTTTCTCTGTAGGTGAACTTGGCACTGATTTAAAAATGATGGTATATAGTATGTATAAAGCACATCAGTTACATTGTCAGTCTCCCAATTGTTTTACAAATATCAATTAGCACCCCTTTAGTTTGTCGTATGTTTTTCCGATTTTACAAAAAAAAAAAAAAAATTGAGCAAAGTATAGATTTTAGCAAAAGTGCAAATCAATTCAGAGTGTTTTGTGCTCAACTTCATTATCCATCTTCTAGGCTTCTCTGCTAGAGACTTCTGTAGCAATGAACATCAGTAAGAATTAAAACTGAGTACAAGCGTATGAACTATTTCTGTGTGGCAGAAAAGAGTGGAAGTTTTTAGAGAGTTACTGTGGAATCTAATTCCCATAAGTTCCATCTTTGCAAGTAGTGAAAAGGCTGGGGCTGGCAGAAATGGGGTCCCTAATGAAAATGTCACAACGATGTAGTAAATGCATTGTCTTCTGTAATATCACCTTGTGGGTTAAATTTGACTAAGTAATGCCTTTGGGAAATATTACTAGGTACATTCAGGTGGATTGTTGGAGTGTAGGTGATATATGGCATGGTGGCTTATCCTGTTGAGCAAGATTCAGTGGTTCCTCTTCAGAAATCTAAACTTATCCTTGGGATATGTTACTCTGGTGTTGTCAGCAATCCTGCAATAATGCATATCTTCAAGCTTTCCATTGTAACTGGAAGGGTGACAAGTACTTTTACAGGTGGTCATAGAATTAGCATGACACATTCATAATCATTTAAACATAGTTTGATGGGGTCAATAATACTAACCAATAAAAAAGGACATAAATGTAAATCAAGGCATATTTTGGTATATTCCTGCCTTGTGCAAGGTGTTTTAATTTTCCCAAAACTATTCCTGGGGAATCAGAATTCTTCTGTTCCTCCCTGCTTAGCTGATGGCCAACCTTGATCACCGAACTCTTCCATCCTAACCACACCGGTGATCTCTGACGGAATCCCCAAAATAGATCATTTCAATGAGACAGTCACTATGGAAACTGTATAACTCTTTACTGTCTGCATCATAACCCATTGTTGAGCAAGTAAGACGGAGACCATACACACATTTTTCTTTCTTTTATCTGTCTGCATAGTATGGGGAGGGGATGGAGAATGCTGTCGTGTGGGTCCCTCCTCTGCAATGGCCACTGAAAAAATAGATGAAGTAATTTGCAAGGAGATTAGTTAAGCTACTTCAATTTGAGAATGAGGTAGAAAAACAGGATTAAGGTAAAATAGCAATTCAGTTCCAAATGAAAGTTATCAAAAGGATGCAATTCTGGTTCTGTGGCTTATCCTCCAAGAATTTCCCCCTCCAGCTACTTGATAAGGGTGTTCACAAATACTGTAAGAAGAATTCAAATTGTGGGGTAAAAGCTAGCTGCAAAACCTCATGATTTACAATAACTGGTAAGAACATCCTTGTTACCTGATGTGAAACAAGAATGCATACCTCAGCGCAGTCTGTATTATTTGCTTTACAATGCTTATGAATAGTGCACTTCTGACAGCTTGTCATGTTTCAGAGTAGTGAGACCATGTCCAGAAGGAGACAGGTCCGTCCTGCATTGGCATCTATCCTGAAATCATGTCTCATGTGCATAAGCTGGCCCTGCTGTTATCAGAAGATTTATGCAATCTTTAAACCCATAGAGCCTTCATGTGTGTCCATGCTCACTCTTTCTCCTTGTGAGGACAGAAAAAACCTGTCACATGCTCTACGTTGTGGCCACATTCTGCTTAGTAAAACCCTGTGAGAAATTATTGGTTGTAGCTGGTAGCAGCCTAGAGCTGATGTGAAAGTTTTCAAGAACTGAAAAGTACTTTTGTTGGCCAAAGTCAGAAATGGAGGCTGATGTGAGAAAAGTTGGTACCTAGAAGGAAGAAAGAGTAGATGTAGCTGTGTGGGAAGAACTTATCATGAAAATACAAAAATAGTGAAGAAACCTCAGCAGTGAGTTAAAGAATGAAAGAAAAGCTTCTCAGAGAGAAATGGATGAATCTTGGTAAGGGAAACTACAGATTCAACAAAATGATTTTGGATTATTTTTTCAATTAGTGTTATTTAATTAAATCTGCTAAGCAACTGTGCCTGATGCAAGGAGCTGTACCATATGATATTTCTGACAACCTTTCCAGCCACTCTTGGTGGTGTTATGACAATTCTCAGCCTTAATTCTCAGTACTGATTACTGGGGAGAGGTTACATACCAGAGAATAATACAAACGTACAAAAGAGGAGGGTTTAAGAGTTTTCTCTTTTGAAATGAGACCAGCATCAGGTTTCCATTTACTTTGTGGGAATATTTAATACTTCCATGTTGCAGCTTGCCACATGCACAGCGACAAAGGATTCAAAGCTGCCTGTGACACAAAGAAACCAAAAGGTAAACAAGAAACGGTTGAGAATAGAAAGAACTATCTGACTACGTGCTCTGTATCCAGAAGCTGGCCTTGCCCCATCTGGGATGGCTAGACACACTCTGCAGCCAGACTCCATCCTTTGTATTTCTTCTGGCAACCACTGTAACAGAAAGTATCTGACTATGACCCACTACCATCATGATCAAAAACCATGATAAAAAAAAGGAAGCCACAGAAACTCAGAGGTTACTACAAGAGAACAGGAATGTGTGTTTGTATTTATTTAGGGATCTTCTACTACAGCAATAACATCCTTCTTCCTTGCATTTTCTGAGGGTTTTGTGATCATGAAAAGTTAATGCATCTTGCCAAGGAATTCTGATGGTACCACTTCTGGTTTATTTATTTTATCTTAGCTCACAGTAGCTGGTAGATGATCTGGTGTGTGCTGATATTTTGAAAAAGCCGAAAAGTTTTTCGAATACCACTTGAAATTTATCTGGTTTGGTTTTGTGGGAAGGAGTTGGTTAAATAGGAACTGGATGCAATCAATTCCTTCTTTACTCAGAACTGACATCCTCTTCACTTCTGGAGTCTGCCTGTGCCAGTAATAGCCAGAACAGATCCTCTAGTATGCTCTGGCCCTTTTGTTTCTTCTGCAAAAGTTACAGAAAATGTCTATACTGTGGCTGAAACAAGCCAAGAAGTATGCCTATGATGAGAACAACTGTGTTTGAATGATTATTTTGCTTCTCATCAAAAAGGCTTTAGAAATCACAGTGAAAACCATGGCGTTATGGTTTTCTGAACTCTCTGAAAAAGAGATACTTATTGTGTTGTTTCCAGTTCCGCCACTGTTTATTAAAATGCCGTCCCTCACTGCTGAGTCCACCATAGTCAAGAGCATCTAACTGTTGGCAGTACTTTTCCTGTTGCTTTCTCACAGTCTCTCCTACCTTTTGTTCTGCATTTGCCAATGAGGAGTTTGCCTAAGCTATGCTCTCCTAATTGAAACATTTCCTGTCTTTTCAATTCTGTAGTTCTGTGGAAAATACTATTTCCCTGAGGTGTCATAATATTCCCACTGAAAAGTTTACTACCCCTATGGAGAATGGATGGGTGGAGGGGTGTGGGTAAGCTGGTAAGGGCAAAAGCAGTTTATGATTTTTTCCTCTCCTCTCCCCAGCCTATGGGTCTATATGTTGTGCCATTGGCATCAAAAGTTTTGGCAGAATCAGAAACAGAGCTGTTGGCACAGCTACAAGAAGCTCATAAGAGTAACAAATACAGGAGGAAGAAGCAATTTTTTTTTTTCCCTGGGATTAATACACAGTTGGAGAGCTGTGAGATCTCAGCGAATGGGAGAACAACATTTCAGTTTAGATTGAGGAAGCTTTGTTCTATTGGAGGTGGTTTTCAATGCAAAATGCTGTTTTTTGCCAAACATTACCAATTTCTATATCTTTACTGCTGGGAAACAATCAGCTTGATTTTTCACAGCTGCTTTTTGAAAACTTCTGGATAATTTCACTTTTTTAGGCTTAAAGACCATTAAAGTTGAGATTTCAGGCAGGCTCCTGTATTGCTGCTGCAAGGTGGGGAGTCTTAAAACTTTAATGTCTCCCACCTGTGGCAAGTTGGCCGACAGGACAGTGAAAGGTGAAAATTGAGGAGGTGAAGGGCTGGCGTGTTGAACCTCTGGCAGCTTGCTTGTCTACGATACCTCCTGTTAGTTAGAGAGAAATTCCAGATAAGTGGCATCAAGCCACAAAATTGTGTTTCACTTCTCCTGAAACACAATTTGTCAGAAGTTCTGACTTGCCTGAAATATTACTTTATTTTTCTCACCCCAACCTAGAAGGTCTTTTTCTCTTGAATGTTAAAATATCTCAGGGCAGGACTTCCCTTTTCGTCAGCTCAGCACTGGTTCTTTTCTGCTTTCCCCACTGTGGAGTCTGACAAGGTTAAAAGATCTCTACAATACTCCAAAATTTTTCCAGAAGTACTATGAAGCTTTGGCAGCCTGCAAGTCTTGGGAGTGAAAGGGCATGGTACAGGATCCCAGGAAGGCTGAGCCTTCCAGTGGCATCACTCTGCAGAATTGCTTATAGTTAATACCGCCAAGGGAAGGGAGAAGTGCACAATGCACATGTTCCCCTGTGTGCAAGTACACGCTCATAAATGCACACAATATGTAATATCCTTCCACTGTTGCTGTTCCTTACCACTAATCTTTCAGGAGGTCCTGAGTGAAAAATGGATGTATTCTATTTTTAAAATAGGATGAGATAAAGGAGTGCTGTAGCAGCGTATCAGTTTCCTAACTTGCATGCCTGAGGCAGAAAGTGCTTAGCTTGAACAGTACTGGTAGAAGAGATAAGTTGCAATATTATATTTTGAAGTGGTTTTGAATGTGTCTGATGTTAGCTGTGCGACCCGTCTGGAAAGACTCACTCCAGAGCAGTGATAGTGGGGCCCAACTTGGCTGTGTGATTAAGAATTTTTGCCAGTGGAATCTATCCGTCATTACAAACCTTCAGAGGTTAACAAAGCTCAGAGCAGGGGTGGTGCATTTATCTTTGGGAGGCTGACACAGACAATCCGTTAATTTTTACACCAGGGCCTGAGCTTGTGTACTATGTGCTTCTTGCATAAATTTTTGCTTTGTGATGAAAACCAAATACTTTGTAACAGTTCAGTAGTATGATCTAGACAGCCCAGGTTTCATAGGAATAATTCAAATCACTGAAGCCTAAAAATAGAGAACTGAGGAATGCCTGTTCTGTTAGAGACTTGATCATCTGCAGGCCAGTGCTCCGGCTCCAGGTGCAAGGGAATTAAGCAGTACCAAGTTCTGGAAAAATGTGCTGTTGATATTTGAATCTGGAGAAGAAGTCCAGTCTGTGCTTCAGACTTGAGTCATGCTGCTTCATCTCTACTCTCCAGCCTTATGGGAAAACAAGAAAGCAAAGTGTAGGTAGGGTTTTCTTCATTTACTTCCATAAGGGCTTGTGAAATACCATAATGCACCCTTGTGTGAGTGAGCAGAAATGTGTTTTCTTATCACAGGTCATTTTATTGGTCTTGTTAATTGTTTGCTAGACATAATTCCTCTCCCCTTCGGCCATTACCTCTCCTCCTTTCAGATTTACAGCATCAAGCTAGTGTGTTGTAGCCTGCAACACATGCGCTTTTTCTTTCTGAGCTTGGCTCAGGGGAACTGGGGATGTTGAAGGTAAAAGTCCAGATAGGTATCAAACAGTCTGGCCTCAATTTATAGAAGTTCATTGGCAGACAAACTCTTTGACAATAGCGACAGTATCTGCTTCTATACAAAAGCACAATATTAAGATAATGTTTTGTTATTTTTTAACTGTTGTGGGAGAAGTTCACTGCTCCTCAGTGTAAACAAAGATGGAGACAAAAGTATATAACTGGCTGTACACAGCCTGTAGGTTTCACTCACCCTTTTTTCCCAACTGTTTCTTGAAATCCTGTTTAGCTGCTTCAATGTCGCTCTCTTTATCCATCTCATCTGAAGAATCTGTCAGATTCCTTTCCCTGTGAAATTACCTGACCCTGATCAATCCTTTTGGGGGTAGGAGTGGTGGAAGAATAAGAAATAGGAGAGAATTTTAAGGTTGCAATCTGGAAAGAATGTAGGAGCTCAGTGCACGTTGCTCATCATGTGTATCGTCCAGGAGGCTTTTGCTGGGCTTTTCTGACTTCAGCTCCCTCTCTTTTTTTCTGTGCTGAGTACCTCTGTCCTCCTTACCTTCACCCAAAAATGCATGGAAGATATAAGAATATTTAGCATGGAAGAAGAGTGTTCAGTGAGGGTGTTTTCTCATGCCTGCTGCTCTGTAACCCTTTGGGGACACTGAGGAGCATCATACGTTAGCCCCAAAAAATAGGTGGAGCAGGGACTTCAAGTCCCCCATGGCTTAACTATTTTTTAAAGTTACTGGACAAGATCAATGCAATTTTTTTTTCTTCTTATATACTCTTCCTTGAATATCCGATAAAGGTCAATTTATCTCTCAAAGTGACACTGTGTACAGTCCTGATGGGTGATGTCTACAGCAGAGCTGAGCCAGTCCTGGGCAGAAGCTGGCTAATGAAACAAACAGCTGCTTCATCCCAAGAAAGTAGGCAGGAAGCTAGTTATAATTACAAGCCTCATGGCATAAGCTGACAGTTTTCAGGAAATACTTCTGCCGTGTATTATGCCTTACACTTGCATTTTTTTCTATTTCCTGCAGCTTGTTAAATATACAACAGCTCTCCTTTTCCTCCCCCAACACTGTACCAATGTTGGAAGCTATATTTAGTTCTTGTCAAGTTACAGCAGGCTTTTTATAATCACAAAGTAGTGAAAAAAAGGCCAGCAACACAGTGAAGGCAAATATTTGTAGCATATAATAAAACTTTCTTGTAACCTAAATATTTAGAAAGAACAGGGGTGTAGGAGGATGTTGTACTTTTTAAAACATGGAAAAGATAAGGAACAGCCTCCTAAGTTTGCTGACATTTTGGAGAAGTCTTTTTGCTGCAGAATGAGTGAGCAAAAGGACTTCTTTTACTCAAAAAATATTTGCTGACTGAAGACAATTTAGAAAAGTCAAAGTTTAACTTTTAAAATAAAAATGCCCAGCCAGTTCAACTGGCACATGGAGGACTGCAGTCAAGAAGAATCAGCCCCACCATGCCCAGTGAAATAAAAATGAATGTTATCCCACTGGATCTTGTGGGATTCATTAGCACCCTGAAAACACCAACAATTTTAAGATTTTCCTTTAGCAAACACTGAAGTAGAAAAGCTTGCAGTATGGATTGAGGGACAAGAAGCCAGTTGTGCAGTCTGTTGCTGAAAATGGACTTTGGCCAAAACACCCCCATATATGCCTGGTACATTTTTAGTTTCTGACTGTTCATTTTTAAGTTGGTTTATTTGGAAAAGAAATCTTTGCTTGAATTTTTATCTTATTTTATGCTAATTCATTCTCAGCTCTTTGCTAGCTTTTCCTTTCATGTTCTCTCTGTCTCTGTGCTGCACCTTGGGAGCCATCAGAATAATTAAGGTGGAAATAATCAAGGATTTGTTGTGAGGCACTGCTACGATCTGTGAAACTCAGGAGTTAAACATCAGGTGGCCCAGCCCAAGAGTTTCTGCTCTAATCTGTTTTCTAGGGATCTTCTTTTGAGGCCCCTAAAATGTTCTTCTGTTTAATTTCATTGCTCATTATTATTTTTTTTTTTTGTTTTTAACTGTGCTTTCAGTAACTACCAAAACCTGGTGATGAACTGGTACACCAAATAGAATTTGACCTGTGAGTTGCCAGATGGAAATGTAATTTACTGTGTGC